AAACTTGAACGTAGGAAGTTCCACCTAAACACGAGGAGGAACTTCTTCACTTTGAGGGTGGCAGAGCCCTGGAAGAGGCTGCCCAGAGAGGTGGTGGAGTCTCCTTCTCTGGAGACATTCAAACCCCACCTGGACATGTTCCTGTGCAACCTGCTCTGGGTGGACCTGCTTTGGCAGGGGAGTTGGACTAGATGATCTCCAGAGGTCCCTTCCAACCCCATAGCATTCTGTGATTCTTTTATGCCCCCCTTAAACTTTCCTGCTCACCCCATAGGAGAGGAGCGTGTCTTTTGATGACCTTGACTAAACTGCTTCTGCTTGACGTCAAACACGACCACCGATGCACAAAGCCAAACTCTCCCCCCAGTTAAACCAGCGGGGGGGGGTGGAAATAAAAAAAGCAGCAAAGGATTGTAAAACCGATCCAAGAGGAGAAGCTTTTGTTTTAGTCAGAACCGTAGACACACATCTCAGCCAGCCAGAAAACACTCTGACTTCACGGTACATAAAGGAGCCGGCAGAGCTGGCTGATGTAACGACGGGGAGCTAAGAGCTCCTCTACCACGACAGCAATTATTTTTTTTTTAAATTGCTTTTCTGCCAGAGAGCCCACCCCCAAAGCCCATCGTGCCGGAGAGACACAAAACACCACTCTAAACCCACGTCTAACTGGGGAGACAACAGACAGGCACGTCCAGCGGGAGAGCACCAGGAGACAGTGAGTCAGTACGGAGCGGCACAACACGCGCTGCTCTCGGCTCCTCGGTCACACAACTGAAGCCAAGGGTTTTGTTTAGGGATTGGAGGGTTGGGTTGTGGTTTTTTTTATTATTTTATTATTTTTTTCATGGCTGTTTTAAGGAGGAACCGGGAGGATATAACTAAAGGACAGCTCTTGGGCTTGGTGGCTGCGTATGAGGAGACCCTTCCACACATGAAAGTCAGAAGGGGAGAAGGTGGGGACCTGTTATGATAAAATTGCTTTTCTGCCAGAGAGCCCACCCCCAAAGCCCATCGTGCCGGGCGGCGGAGAGACACAAAACACCACTCTAAACCCACGTCTAACTGGGGAGACAACAGACAGGCACGTCCAGCGGGAGAGCACCAGGAGACAGTGAGTCAGTACGGAGCGGCACAACACGCGCTGCTCTCGGCTCCTCGGTCACACAACTGAAGCCAAGGGTTTTGTTTAGGGATTGGAGGGTTGGGTTGTGGTTTTTTTTATTATTTTATTATTTTTTTCATGGCTGTTTTAAGGAGGAACCGGGAGGATATAACTAAAGGACAGCTCTTGGGCTTGGTGGCTGCGTATGAGGAGACCCTTCCACACATGAAAGTCAGAAGGGGAGAAGGTGGGGACCTGTTATGATAGGCAATGGTTTTAAACTAAAAGAGGGGAGATTCAGAGTAGATTTAAGGAAGAAATCTTTCACAATGAGGGCGGTGCCCCAACTAGCCCAGGTTGCCCAGAGAGGAGGGAGATGCCCCATCCCTGGAAATGTTCCAGGTCAGGTTGGACGGGGCTCTGAGCAACCCGATCTAGTGGAAGATGTCCCTGCTCAATGCAGGGGGGTTGGACTAGATGGCCTTTAAAGGTCCCTTCCAACCCAAACCATTCTGTGATTCATTGAAGGTACAAAAGTGTTTGTCTGGGAAAAAAAAAACAAAACAAAACAAAATCAAGCAAGAAGACGTTGGAGCTTGGAGGCAGAAGGTGCATTTTGATTTCTCCATTACTTTTGACCTTTGATTGTTTGGTTACCTTTCATTATCGATATTACAGTAGCATCTATAGGGCTCATCTGAGATCATGGGCTGCACATGAACCCCTGTCCTCAGTTACGAGGCAGAAAAGAGGCACAATTTGTCTCAGCCTTGAAACAGGCATTGTCTGATCAGATGAACGTCACCCAACGGAAGAGAAACTCCGGACCCCGATATTTCCCAGGGCATTGTACGAAAAGGTCCTACATAAAACATCCCACGATCTCATGTAAACACAATCCTCTAAAATGAAACCGAGCGGGTCCTGCTGTAAATGCAGATTAAGGCTGCGTGGACCAGGGGTGGAGAAAAAAAACCCTTCCCCAACTTCTCTAGATGGAATTTAGAAAGAAAATCTAGCACCTTCCCCTCTTGCCAAGGTTCTCCTTGAAAAGCAAAACCAAAACAAAACCAGGCTTATAAAAGCACAGCGTTTCAAGGACAGCAGTGGCCACACACCCATGTGCAGACACGTACGTTTGAAAGGCACTTGTCAAAGAAAAAATAAATCTATCATCTTCCCCGTGTCGATACGGCCAGAGCAGGAACTTCAAACCCGATTAGCAGCATCCTGCAGCCTGAGATTCCTCCTTTGAGGTCTCAAAGTAGAATATAAACCGAAGGCACAAGGAAAGCAGCAAAGCCAGCAGCTCAGCGCCTTCCCTTTGAGTCCGTACAAAAGCCGGAGTAACACCCTGGTGGCTGAAAACTCGCCTTTTGTACCTGAAAACCAAAGTCCAACCATGTGGGCTTGTTGGAGACGAAGGTGGGTTTTAGGGGAGCAAAGCCACCAGCCTCAGGATCTACCACATTCACCTGCTTGAAACTGCCATCAAAGAGAATCATAGAATGGTTTGGGTTGGAAGGGATCTTGAAGATCATCAAGTTCCAACCCCCTGCCCTGGGCAGGGACACCTCCCACCAGACCAGGTTGCTCAAAGCCCCGTCCAGCCTGGCCTTGAACCCCTCCAGGGATGGGGCAGCCACAGCTTCTCTCTCCAACCTGTTCCAAGAGAACAATTTGGAGCCTAGAGGAGAGCTGGAGAGGGACTCTGTCAGGAAGTGTAGTGACAGGACAAGGGGTAACAGTTTTAAATTGGAAGAGGGGAGATTTAGATTAGATATTAGGAAGAAATTCTTTCCTGGGAGGGTGGTGAGGCACTGGAACAGGTTGCCCAGAGAAGCTGTGGACACCCCATCCCTGGAGGGGTTCAAGACCAGATTGGATGGGGCTTTGAGCAACTTGGTCTGGTGGGAGGTGGGGGTTGGAACTTGATGATCTTCAAGATCCCTTCCAACCCAAACCATACTATGATTCTATGATTTAACTTGATCAATGCACCAACACCCTGGATGCACAACGCACTTAAAGAAATACTATTATACTAATAATAACGCATTAAAAAGCAAGGGAATGGGGCGCCACCGAGCGAGGAGCAGTCCCAGTGAAGGTCAACGTTTTCAAATCCAGCCACCAAGAGCAGGAAGCCGCTGCAAAACGGCGTGACTGGAAGGGAAGTCCCACTGACCACAGCTCCGGGACCGAGATCCCCTCGAGTGACATCTGCCGAGCGGGGGCTTCCTGCCCTGCGGAGGCTGCGTGGGACGGATGGGCACATCTCAGCACGGCCACGTTTCCTCTCGAAGTAGAGGCTGGGGAGGGGGGGGAATGAGGATGTTTTGAAAACATAGGTGGCTTGCAAAGCACTTTGGGATGTTATCATCTGGATGAAAAGCACTCTTATGCCCGTCGATAATTAGCGTTTGCTGATGGGGTGTCACACCCTCGTGCAGAGAGAGTTGAGCAGATTTATTTGGCTCTCACTGGAATGCTGGAGCACAGGCTGGATATTCAGGAGGTGATGTGAGTGCCCTTTCACGGGGTGTAGGGGGGGGGGGGGGAGATAGGGGGGAGAGACGCTGGGGAGCTAACGATGTTTGATGAGTTAAGGCCACTGGTGACTCAGGATCAGCAATTAGTTGATTTCTGCGGGAGGAAGGTGCCCTGCTCCATTAAGCTAAAAGCATCCTCCACAGTTGAGCAGGCACCAAGTCATTTCTTCTGGCCAGCTCCCCCCCCCCAAGCCTGCCTACAGACATCGGGGGGTTGATATTTCCCGTGGAAACACACGGTTTTACCGTTGTCACAGTACATTTTGGTGGGGCTGGAGGGGGGAACAGGGAGGAAAAGAACTGTATTCCCTCACGGCTCCATCCTGAGCCAACCTGATCATCCCTCGAAGGGAATGGGGCACACAAGGAAAGGATTGCCAAGAGCGACCGGGCACGCAAAGGGATGTGGCATCACCAATACCTATGGGGTTGCACCCATTTTGGCCATGGGAAACACCAGATCACAAATGGGATACCCCTCCAGCCCTGCATCACCCCGTGACAGGGCTCTCCAGACATCCACCTCCCTCCCAAGAGGAGGCAGCGATGCTTCCATCAATCAATAACAAGCACTGACAGGGAGGGGGGAGACACCAGCTGCTTCCCATTCCCAAAATCCATGCAAGCCAAAGCGACGGGACCGAAGGACGATTCCCTCCTTGGATGGGAGAGCACCCAGCTCTCTCCCAGAGGCTGGGTCCCAAAGCCTGGCAGAGGTTGGTGGCTGGAATCAGGGAGCGGGACCCCGGCTTCATCCCGGGGAACGATGTGCCAAGTCATGGGGTGGCAGCTCCACGCTCCCCGTCGGGCGGAGGGCGCAAAGAACAGTTATTCCTTTCAATGAGCCGGGGGGGAATGTGACAGAGCTGGCATTTGGACCCTCTTTTTTACAACTTCTTTGAAGTGTTTGATCTCGGCCACTAATGGCACAAAGGGCTATCAAAGCCCCAACTGGTGCTATCTTCAAAGGCTTCGGACGTTCAATGATTAATAGGAACCGTGCGCGGGGATGGGGGGGTGGAGGGGGAAGCGACCGTTATGGGGGTGTTCTGAGAAAGGAAATCATGCTCTGAGGAATGAATAAAAGTCTACAGGTGTCAAAAATGTGTCCCTGCCTACCTAATTTGCTCCTATTATCTTGATTTATTTTATGGATTTGAGTATTTAAATATCTATCCTGTTTTTTGGTAATACGTTGCATTTGTTCCAACTGGAATTTTTTTCTAGCATTCCTAAAAGCTAAGGTAATCTTAAAAAGGCATTTCTGCACAGAAAAAAAGAAAAAAAAAAAAACAAACCAAAAAGATGAAGGTAGAGAAGAGCTGGGGTGGGTTGAGACTTACGTATCTCCTTAACTTCTTCTCCGGCGGTGACTTTCGGAGCCAGCCCGAACACACCACCTCCCCGCCGCTCATCGCGGCTGCCGGGCGGCTGCTCTCCCCCGCCGCGGGCGCTCAGCGCCGGCAGCGCCGGCCCATGGAGGGCGGTGGAAGGATGGATGGATGGATGGATGGATGAAGGGTGGATGTGTGGGTGGGTGGGTGGATGGATGGATGAAGGGGGGGGGGGGCTCCTCCTCCTCCTCCGCCGCCGCCGCCGCCGCCGGGGGAAAGCAGGAAACTGGCTCCTTCCCCGGCTTCACCACGCCTCCCGCCCCGCTTTAAAGATACAAACCCCGCGGGGAAGAAGAAGGGGTTGCCCGCACCCCCCGGAGGTTTCCCCCTCGGCTTCTCATCCAGCCCTCATACCCTTCCCCCCTCCCGCTTTAGCACTGGGGAGAGAAGAACCTGATTAGAATCATAGAATCGTCTAGGTTGGAAGAGACCCTTGGGATCATCGAGTCCAACCATCTACCCTACTCTACAAAGTCATTTAAGATCCGTTTAGATGCAGTGCTAAGGGACATGGTGTAGGGGATGACTTTGTAGAGTAGGGTAGATGGTTGGACTCGATGATCCCAAGGGTCTCTTCCAACCTCAATGATTCTATGATTAAGGTCAACACAGAGAAGTGTAAGGTTCTGCACCTGGGGAGGAAGAACCCCGGGTACCAATATCGGTTTGGGGTGGATCTTCTGGGAAGCACTGCTGAGAAGAAGGGTCTGGGGGTCCTGGGGGATAGGAAACTATCCATGAGCCAGCAATGTGCTCTTGTGGTCAAAAGGGCCAACGGGATCCTGGGCTGCACAGGGAAGAGTGTGGCCAGTAGGTGGAGGAAGGTCATTCTCCACCTCTGCTTTGCACTGGGGAGGACACAACTGGAATAGTGTGTCCAGTCCTGCACCCCCCAGTTCAAGAGGGACAGGGATCTACTGGAGAGAGTCCAGCATAGGGCAACAAAGATGATGGAGGGATTGGAGCACCTCCCTTAGGAGGAAAGGTTCAAAGAGCTGGAGCTCTGTAGCCTGGAGAAGAGAAGACTGAGGGGAGACCTTATCAATGTTTACAAGTTCCTAAAGAGTGGGTTGAAGGAGGATGGAGCCAGACTCTTTTCAGTGGTTCCCAGTGACAAGCCAAGGGCAACGGGCACAAGCTGGAACATGGGAAGTTCCACTCAAATATGAGGAAGAACTTCTTTCAGGCGAAGGTGCCAGAGCCCTAGAACAGGCTGCCCAGGGAGGGGGTGGAGTCCCCTTCTCTGGAGATCTTCAAGCCCTGCCTGGATGCTCCTGAGTGATGTGCTCTGGGCAACCCTGCTTTGGCAGGGGAGTTGGACTGGGTGATCTCTAGAAGGTCCCTTCCAACTCTGACAATGCCGTGGTTCCATGATATAGAAACTTCACCCATACCACAGCAGGTCACCTGCATGGCAGCCCAGCGCTGCCTTAATCAAAAAGTCATCCCCCCGCCCCCCCCGCAAACCCCTCCACCGTAAGGTTTAATCACCCCAGGACCCTTCCCCTTTCTTGATGGAAAAGGCCCTTCTCACCCCAAAAAAGAGACACTGGCTTTTGCCCCGCCGCGCTCAGGGACTTGTACGTGAGAAGAAGATGCCACAGGAAAACAAAGAGGTTGAGTAAGAAACAGCCAAACACCGGCGATGGAAAAAAAAAACACCAAACCCTCCTGGATGGAAAAAAAAAAAAAATAAAATTGAGGGGGATCGATAAAAGCTTCATATTTTATTATTGATTTTTAAATAATGGAGCTGTGCCCACTGAAAGGGGATTTGACTGCCACTGGAGTCTCAGGCAGTTTCGTATTACAGCGTATTAAACCCCGGCTGAGATTAACTATCATCTTCCAGATCTAGAAACACTGTACATTGAAAAGTCTGACCCTCTGCCCAGCTCCGGCAGCGCAAAAAAAAAACAACCCAAACTTCCTTCCTCGGCCCTGCGAGGGGGATTAGGCTCTAACCCCTCCTTTTGCTCCATCCCTAAACCCAAAAATCTGGGCATGGCACTCGTAAAAGCCGAGTCCTCCCAGCCCACGGCACGCTCACGCTGCTGGGGAAATACAACTTGGAAGAGGGGGGGGGGGGAATTCTTTGCTGGGGGTGGGTTTCTGAGACCTGTCTCTATACGGTACTTCTGTCCCAAACCTGCTCGGCCACATTCAGTCATTCCTGCCTCAACTTCCTGGCCCGTCCAACCTCCCCGGGCAGGGACGGTTCCCTCCTGACCTGTTTTGGTGCAATAACAGCTCCACGCCGGCGTGGATGCTCTACGGCACGTCGAACAACAACAGTCTTTTATGGAACGCCGCTCACACAGGGATCTTGCATCACTTTGGAGCCATAATTACAAGTTGGAGAGCCTCTGGGAGGTAGGCACGGCACCTCTTCTCCAGACGGGGACACCACGGTTAAGCCATATGTTGTTTATCATCTTCTTGAATGCATAAGAAAAGGGGAATAACCCCTTAAAGAGCAAGGGTGTTATTTGGCAGGAATGTATTTTTTCCCAACAGCTTGCTTTGGCTTTTCCTGCCAGCAGGATGCCAAGGCTCATCTTCCTGAATGCATAAGAAAAGGGGAATAACCCCTTAAAGAGCAAGGGTGTTATTTGGCAGGAATGTATTTTTTCCCCAACAGCTTGCTTTGGCTTTTCCTGCCAGCGGGATGCCAAGGCTGAAAGTGATTTTTCTACCTTTTCACCGCTCAAAGGAAGGGGTTGATCCTAGACAAGCGTGGGGCAACCCCTGCATTGATGATGGCCACGATCACTGAAAGTGATTTTTCTACCTTTTCACCGCCCAAAGGAAGGGGTTGATCCTCGTCAAGCGCAGGGCAACCCCTGCATTGATGATGGCCATGGTCATCTAGAGAAGAGAAGGCTGAGGGGGGGATCTGATCAACACCTATAAATACTTAAAGGGTGGGTGTCAAGAGGATGGGGCCAGTCTTTTTTCAGTGGTGCCCAGCGACAGGACAAGAGGAAATGGGCACAAACTTGAACATAAGAAGTTCCACCTAAACATGAGGAGGAACTTCTTTCCTTTGAGGGTGGCAGAGCCCTGGAAGAGGCTGCCCAGAGAGGTGGTAGAGTCTCCTTCTCTGGAGACATTCCAAACCCGCCTGGACACATTCCTGTGCAACCTGCTCTGGGTAGACCTGCTTTGGCAGGGGGTTGGACTAGATGATCTCCAGAGGTCCCTTCCAACCCCATATCATTCTGTGATCCTGTGATTCCATGATCTCTGCCAATGGAGCTGAGGGCAGGGGGGTTGGAGAGGCCCGTTCTGTGCTGGCACCAGCCGGCATCACCTTCTTCAGCGCGCTGGAGCCGGATCAATTTACGCCGCATGAGAGCTGAGTGTCTCGCCCAAAAACTCTCCTTTTGTGCGTTCGCTGGGAAAACTGTGTCCTGGTGACCTGCCCTTGAGAGATCTTCCCCAAACCCCGAGCAGTTTCGGGGAGGCTGCTCACCTACTGGGGATTTGTAAAGACCCAATTTGTAAAGACCCGATGGAGAGCAGAACGTCACCGTTAACAGGCAGGTATCGTGCAGAGCTGTCCCATGGAAGCTGTTCCAGAGCTGTTCCTGGAATTTCAGGAAGAAATTTTTTACTATGAGGGTGGTGAGACACTGGAACAGGTTGCCCAGGGAAGTTGTGGATGACCCATCCCTGGAAGTGTTCAAGGCCAGGCTGGATGGGGCCTTGAGCAACCTGCTCCAGTGGGAGGTGTCCCTGCCCATGGCAGGGGGGTTGGACCTCGATGATCTTTGAGGTCCCTTCCAACCCAAACCATTCTATGATTCTATGGGGTATGTTAAGGATTCAGGGGTTGGGAATTCGCTCCTACGGACACCAGTGCAAAGTGGTATCAGTTTGAAAACCAGTTGCAGAGAACCCTGTCTGCTTTTTTATGTCAACAGCTCTCACCAGGCACACCTCATTTGGGTGACGGATGTTTAAAGAAACGCTCCGTAATTATCGTCGTGTGAGTTGGAATGATTTATTCTACATCTTCTGTCCCAGCCTTTGGCTTATCACTCTCCTCCCTGGCTGCACGATCCTCTCTCTCCGCTCATCCCCTCCTCTGGATGGTATTTACTGACTTGATTATAGCACAAGATAGAGCTGAACGGTGTCCAAAATGTGCAGTACCCCTGCGAATTCTTTTTTTTTTGACACCTTTGGTGATGCCTTATTGCAAAAACCTGCCACGTGTAGCTCAGATTGCTGGGACTTTGGGCTGGGAAACAGGTTGTGCTCTCTCTATTCTTCAGAACGTTGACATTTCAAACGGGGAAATAGAAGCTTCTGCGGAGAGAAAACGCTCGAAACAAAGATGCTCCACGTGAACGTGCCTCCCGAATTCCTCTGGGTGGGAACAGCGAGTTGATTCTGGCGTGGGGCTGCCAGATGATTACATACGATCCCACGTATGTAACGCTGCGATGCCTGACAATGCTGGCCCCACTTAAAGCCTTTGGCCAGGGATTCAGATCTTATTCCCAGTGCCTCTAGGAGTTAAAGACGAGGGATGTCATGATTTGGCAGCGCTCGGCCCATTCGTAACAGTTTTTACCAACTTCAAGCTGTTCCCTCCAACCGGCGGCGGGGACTGAACTCGGGCTGGCCCCAGCTGACTGCGTAAAATCTCCAGAGTCGGAGCTACCAGCCAAAGCAGCCTTGGCAGAAAACTGTGAAAACCACATCCTCGTGTTGGAAAAAAAAACAACAAAAAACCAAAAAAAACACGAGGAGGGAGTTGTGTGAAGCCGGGGAGAATTCGTCTCTGCCAGCAGGAGCCACTGCAGGGGGAAGAGCAGAATTAGCAGGCGCAGCAAGGGAGAAATTAAGAGATGCCATGTAAGAAATCATATTCCTCTCACAAGGGTAATAAGGGCAGGAAGAAAACCATCTTTTTCCAAGAAAAAACCCTTGTGCTGTGTCTTTAATGTGCTGGGGACGGGGGGCACAAAAAAAAAAGTGACACTTTCTCCTGCAGAAACCTCCGGGGTTTTTAATCACAACCATCAGGGCGCTGCCTTGCTCGTGGCCCGAAACCCGAAATCTGTGAAAAATCAGAACTTCTAAGAAAGAAACCACAACGCCCGCCGCTCCTCCCGCCCATCCAAATTTATGTAAATGAGCT